GGCCACCATCCAAGCGGCACCCTGTCAGTCACGAGGGATGTGGAGAGAATGGGGGTCTGGAGATTGCCTGTGCAGGTGGGATTAGAGCCAGGGGCAGCCAGATGGCAGACAGCAGTGAAACTGGCCACCCACGGGGAGAGCTTAGGGAGAGCCAGGCCTCCTGGGCCCACCTGCCTCCACACTTCCTTCTCCTCTCCACCCCACGGGCTTTTCTTGCAAGAGCGTTTTTCTTGAGACCTGTCCCCATACTGACTAATCAAGTGAGAATCCAGCTGCTGACCACACCGGCCCTGGAGCAGTTCCACGCTAATTGTCAAGCTCATGGCAAGGGCGCTGTCCTTGTGATGGCACCCTGTGCAGCCTCCTAAGGCACACGGAAGCTGCAGTTTAGGTGGGCAGGACGCCCTCAGCTCCTCTCGGAACTAGTCAGTCCAGACAAGGCAGGAACACGCCCAGGAGTGCGAGTCTACCAGGAAGGAGCAGGAGCGCTCAGGACAGAGGCATCCCGGGTACAACTGCAAATCACTGATATCAAGTTTGATATCAGTGATTTGCAGTTTGATATCAGGTTTTCATGATGCAAGTTATAAATGTAACGACTGGGAATTTAGAAGAACTTGAAATAGAAATGTCCATCTTAGATAATATCGGGATTTGCTGTATGGCCACTCTCTCGGCAGTGAAATTGTCTTCATTACTAGGATCCCTCCCCCAAACCCAAGGCTCATCTTCACTTAAGTCAAACTATATAAAATTTATTTAGCATGAATTGGGCCTTCTGTTTCCCTGAACGCAACTCAACTTTGTTCTCAGCCGGTGGTCCAGGGTTTTAGAGGTCAGAATCTCAGCCTTTCTTCCTCTCTCCACAGCCCTGGGCATGTCAGGGGAGAGGGCTGGTATTGCTGCAGGCAGACGGGCATCCTCCTGAGCCAGGATGTGCAGGTCTTGACTTTCACTGGGCACAGTGGCCGCCATGGCTCCAAGGGGCCTTTCTCTAAGATGCCACTTGGCAGGTGTTACCTCGTCTGCCCAGGCGCTAATGAGAATCAGGGAGACACTGGGAAGCTTTGCAGGTCACTCTGGGGTTTGCAAGGACTGCTTATAGGATGCAGAGTGACCCAGTGGACAGTTGGGGAGATGAAAGGAAGCCTTTCGGATTAAATCAGATTTAGGAAATAAAAGGATTAGCGGGACACAAAAGCTAGATTTGCAGGGTTTATTTAGCCAGCGCAGTGTGGCCTGCCGGGATGGGGGACGTCCAGAGAGAGATAAAAGAATCAGAGTCAGAGGTCGCAGGGCAGCAGAGATGAGCAGACCCCCCCGAGTCCTCTAAATCTTCTGGTAATTGAAAGTGGGCCCGCAAAGGGGGGTGTCCCCATTACTAATTCTGACTCCTTCACCAAGTAATGAGAAGAGGTTCAATGAGGAGCATCTCAAGGATTCGGGGTCAGGCCTCCAATAAGCTTAGGAAGTAGAGAGCACATGTTATGACAGTCTCCTTTACAGACTGCTTCTCTCTCTCAAGGAACAAAGCAATTTGTCATCGGTGGAGGGATGTAATATGGTTTGGGGTGGTGACATCAGCCACCTCCTGTATCCGGGGCCACTTCTTTGCTCTGTCGTGGAACCAGAAATCCCCAACTAGGAAGGCTACCCTGCCATCTCTGGTCTTAGAGACATGTGAGTGGGACACCGTCACCCATGCCCCCACATGGGTCTCTGCCACAGCAAGGCCATCCCTGGTCACGGGCAGGACAGGGTGCTGCTGAGCCCAGCTCCTTGCTCTGAGAAAGAGGAGTCCCCCAGTGCTGTCCCCAACATTACACCAAGGTCTGCGTCACAATCCTTACCTCTGCAACATGGAGGAAACTGGGACCAATCCAGTCTCTGCCTCCATGACTGCCATTTGAACATCCAGGGAAGGTTGCACGGTGACCTCAAGTAGTCGCTTTACCGGCTGATGCTCCCGCTCCCCAGGAGGCCAGGTGACTTGCTTCTGGCCCTTGGCTGAGCACTGAAACAGAGCATCTGCTCCTCTGAGCCTCTGCCCAAGTGACGCCTGCTGCCTAGATTCACTTCTGAGGTTCGTCTCCAGAACCAGGTGTCAACTAATCCCTGGGCAACAAGACGTCGGGTCGACATGTCCAGTGAGGCTGTCCACATCAGAGTCTCCTTATGGGACAGCAAAAGCCAATCCTAGAAGTCTACTGCAAGACTGTAATTAATAGGCAGGACCACATCTACCCATGCACTAGTCTTGGGTAGTTCTTTTGAGCACCTACTATATATCTGGTGCCTATTTAGTGCTAGGAACAGGCAACTAAGACATGGCCATAGCCCTGGGGAAGCTCATACTTTAGAAGAGGAAATAGAAACGTGAATGAAGATAATTAAATGTGATACAAGCTATGCAAAATGTTATTTCTAGAGATGAGAGTATGGAAAGGACGAATGGCCATGGTAGTTGGTGAAGAAACTAAGCTCCTGCGACCCCTCCGAGGTCAGGAGCCCGAGTGACAACATGGCACTGCTCAGGGTCTGTGGACCCCTCTCCTGCAGACACACAGCTGGGTCCAGCCAGGAGCCTGGGGTGTCGAGGTGGAACTCCGAGTCCGCTCAGTTCCTAGTGCACAGGGAAAGTCCTTAGAGGAAAACTGAGGATAGTTTAAACCCCAATGAACAAAGCCCCATTGACTAAGGCCAGGACGTTCCAATGGCAGCATTGTCTGGGGCTGAGGGGTGAGAAGCCATCCAGCGGCCTGAGCCCGTTCTCCACAAGGAGCAGCAGGGCCGGGGTGGGGGGACCTCAGTGTGGGATATGCAGGTGGCAAGCGCACAGTGACCCTGGTGACTGTGTGATCCGTGTCAGGTGGCGCTTTGACTCAATGGCCTCTCACAGGCTCGTGGACCTTCATCCTCCCACTTCATAGGGGACTCCGAGGCCAAGGAGGTCAACCCGCCTGCCCAGCCCAGGCTCCTCAGCCCCACGCTCCCTGTGGCTGGGCCCACACTGGGTGCTCTTTTGGGTGCTCGAATCTCCACACCAGAAAACTGGCACCATCATTAGGGCGGGATGATCCGCAAGTCAGTGAATCACTGGGACATAAAACTAGGTAAAATGGAGCAAGCAGACACCACCATCCATTTAACTTTAAAAAAAAAAAAAACTAACGGGTTTTAAAGTGGAGAAGCAGCCATACATGATTTAAGTGCATTTGAAGAAAAAGAGAATGTCAAAAGCTGATCAAAGTTGTTATAAATTATTTGATGCTTTAAATGCTTCTCAAAGAAGACCAGGTTTTTGTGGCCTAATTTCAGATACAAATTAATATGTAACTGGGTTGAACATGCGGCCTCTGAGCCTCAGCTGTCCATCTGTGAATTGGGGTGTTGGATGGCGTGGGCAGTTTTCTGCTGCGGACTTTACCATTCTACAGACCTTCACTGCTGACCTTTGCCATGGTCTGAATTGTGCCCCAGCAATTTCACGGTGGTCTGAACCTCCAGGGTCTCAGAAAGTGACTGTGTTTGGAAATCGGGTCTTTACAGAGATCAAGAGAGTGGACCCAAATCACTATCACTGTTTTCCTTAAAGGAAGAGATTTGGACACAGAAAAACCACAGAAGACAGACAACAGGAGGGTTCAGCCAGCAGCCGGCCCTACCGGCCCAGGAGAGGCACCCAGAGGAGACTGACCTGGCTAGCACCGTGACCCTGGGCTTCCAGTCCTCTGTTGTCTGAGCCTCCCAGTGTGGAACTCTGCTCCTGCAGCTCTGGGAACAAAAACAAGCCTGCTCTGAGGTTGGTGACACTCACAGCACAACTGACTAGCTGAGCACGTCACCCACCTGTTCCTCTGCCATCCAGCATCTCAGTGGAGTGGGCGCCAGCCCCGCCCACCTCTGGGCTCCAGAAGGAGGCCGGCTGTCTGTCAGAGCTCCCTGTTGACCTACCCTGACCCAAACATGTTGAAATGTAGAAACGATGGCACTGCTGGGCAAGAAGCCACCACAGTGGCCTACGAGTGGCCTAGGAGGTCCTTGGCCCTGACTTCACATCTCTGAAACCTCGAATCTGGAATGCACTTGTTTACTGTAAGAACATCTGCATTAGGAAGGGCAGTGGCTGTCTCCCGCGGGCAGAGTGGCACACACACATGGTGTCATTGCAAACCATGCAGCAGCCAACGAGGTCCCACGTAGCCTCTGCGAGGACACACTTCACTCAGGAAAGAGCTAATCGACACACGTTGACCCTTCTCTTGAAAAAGACAGAATGCATTTATTACTTAATGCCAGATACAGTTGGTTTACTTGGAAGGACATTTCTTCAAAATATCATTTAATTATCCCTCAAACTGAAAATTCTTAAAAATCAAAATTTGGTTGAATATTCTTAGAAGAATGGATTGCAAAACTCACATTGATGTGTCTTTTACTTAGAAATGAGCTGAGTCTTCAAAGCACCAAAACTTGTCTTCCATTTCTGTAATAAAACTGACACAAAAAAGTTAAAATGTTTTTGAAATGCACATGAAAGATTAACTACGAAATGTCCCCTTCATTTTTCAGAATTGTCAATTACTTTACTGTGGAATAAAATACAGTGCAAGAATTTTTTTTCCAAATACATCAAAGTAATTTTTAAATTACCATTTCATATGAAGCCTTATGCTTTGGAAATCTGAAAATTACTCATTCATTTGTGAATAATGAAATGATAATTGCTGCATCATTGGAAGGAAATTTTCAAGAATTATCCACAGATGTAATAGTACAGTCAATTTTCAATGTAATTATGATAATGCAGATTTTAAAAAATCAAATCCAAGAAATTAGTTGCTACCTAACTAGGCAGAATATGTGATAGTCACATACTTAGCAAGAAAATTTTATAAAATGGACATAGTGTTTACCTGACTTTAAGTATATTCAACATAATGCTTTTGCCTTCTGCTGGTTTTGAAGTTTTCATCTACATATGTAACACTGCACGTAGGGCTGGGTGTGCAGCTCAGAGGTAGAGATGCTGGGTTCAATCCCCAGCACAAAACAAATATTCAAAACTGCATGTAATGATACTTCAATTTCTTCTCTTTTTTGAGTTTATTATGACAATGGAATATGTAAAAGGCTACAACAGAGAATTCAGCTATCTCACTTGTTTATAATTGAGTCTGTGCTGAGCTACTCCACACTAATACTAAGAGTACTTCACTACCAATATTCTGTAATAGGTCCAAAGGTCGAATACAGTTAGGTGTAAATTCTGTGTATTTGAACTAGGCTGATTCACCAGCACAACCCGTCATCTGGGAAATGGTGTTTAGGAACATTAACAAATAATTTTATGGCATAAGAGAAATCCATTTTAAGATCTTGACAATAAGAAATCTCGATGTAATTGATGAAAATCAAGAGAGACGACTTAAAAGGCACAATTTGGGATGCCGTTCAGAACAGTTCTGTGTCGGACTCTCACAAACTGGTTGTTGGCAAAGCACCTCCTTCTGGTCTTGAGGCTGCAGAGGAACATGCTCATGATTTACTCAATCTCACTTTTCCATTCAAAGAAAAAATGGGGCCTGAAGAGGAACTGCATGGTGCTGCATGGTCCCTGCCAGGGAGGGGGTGGGCAGGAGTGGCCTGCAGGAATATGGACGCGGAAAAATGCCACGTGTCCCTGCCTGGGTTTGGTTCTGGGCACGTTCTCTTCACGCTTACACAGAGGGGCTGACTTTCCTGTGTCCTCATCGCAGAATATCTTGGCAGATCCAACAAGGATCACAGGAACTGGCTGTTGGAAAAGCACCAGAAATGTCACTGACCTGGACTCTACAGTGTGACCACCCTGGTGTCCTTGATTCTGCAATGGTCCTCCCGTCCTGTGCTGCCCATTCTCTGTGATTTGATCCGACGGCACACGTGATGTTACAGCAGGTGCACCTGACAGATTGAAGACCCACCTCCTTCAAGAGTGCCAGCTCAGTCATTTATGATTAATTACTATTAAAGCATTAATCGCAAATCGAAACCCAAAGTGCTGACTTATCACCTCCAAAATCCAGAGCTCAACACCTGCTCCTTGCAGAGCACATCAGGGTCTTGGAGGTGCATTCGCATCGGGTCCCATGTGACTCCTCCGTAGCGCTGAGGCAGGAGGTGGCCATGTGTCACTAAGCAGAGGAGCAGCTTTCCATTTCCAATCATGAAGCCAACAGTGACAAATCAGGAGGTGACAGTGAAGTGGCTGATGGACATCCCAGACAGGTGGGACTATTCATAAAACTCAGAGCACAGGGGACACTCAGTGACCACTGGCCCATTTTCCTTATCCTGTAACTGAGGAAACAAGATCAAGGAGGTGGAAATGACATGTCCTAGAGCACATGGTGCTTGGGACAAGAGCTTGGCTCCTTTGTGAGTGCATTCTGTGCTCCTGAGTATGCTCTGGGAACCTACCCAGCTTGTGGATGGTTCAGGCCTCACCCCAACACTTGATAGTAGTTGGGTGGGCTCAGAAATCTTCATCATGCAGAAGGAAAAAGAGAAGGAGAAGGAGGAGGAGGAGATGGAGGGAAAAAGGGAGGAGAAGGAGAACGAGAAGGAAAAAGAGAAGGAGAAGGAGGAGGAGAAGGAGGAGGAGAAGGAGGAGAAGAAAGGGAAGGAGGAGAAGGAGGAGGAGGGGAAGAGGAGGAGGAAGAGAAGGAGGAGGAGGAGGAAGAGGA